CACTTTGATGTCTCAAGTGTGATTGCTCTTGGATTGTGGCCGCTTTCCCTTGAAGGTTTTGACATGAAAAGCAGGCTGGGCTCTCAGGTTTATCCCATGGCCAGTGATCCAGGACTAAAACAATCAACCTGCTCACTGTGGGATACTATTACCAGGGAGAGTGAGGCACCAAGCATAGGGGCTTCCTCAGCCGTGAAACACACTTTTTCTCCAAGTTACAAACACATTTTAGGTGTGTTGATTGAATTATACCAATCCACGCTCCCATTAATAGATTTTAGTCTGAAGTTTGGGCAGGCAGTTGACACTAAAATACATATTCAAGCGGCCCGAGAATACATTCCCGATGTGTTTGCACAGAGGTGGACAACTGAAATGATCCAACATTTGTAATGAATTAAAAAGAAATGAAGCCAGTAATTGCAGTTAAGATTGACCCAATCCGATAAGTATGATAATGTGACATGTCATTAAGAGCGGAGGCATAAGTGACAACCCTTAAGCTTCACTTATACTTTCATTAAATATTGAATCTGTGCTCATAGCTGTTCCAGCCTGCAAATTACACCAGATAGATATATTCCCATGACAGTGGAGCTGACGATTATCATCCATCTTCGTATGACATTTGGCAGAACTCTTGTTTTATGAGCTAAAGTGCCATTGTAGTGGATGAGAAAGAATAATAATGTGCAGTGTTCATGATCTCCATTATATCAGATGGTATCTTATCACACTGAGGGCCACGGTGTGACGGTTAATCTACTTCAGCCATGTCTGTCAAGGGGGAAAAAAAAAAAAGTGGGTAAATAGCAGACTTCTTTTGATTTGGATTTCGACTCAGTGAAAGTTTTTTTCTGCAAGAAATTCCAAGACAAAAAAAAAAAAAAGACTTATGTCAACATAAGAGGCTTGGTACCACTTTAAAAATCGTTCTTTTATGTGGATATTTGAAACTACAGTTGTGGTTCACGCAGTTATTGAGTACTTTCACCCCTTTAAAGCTGCTATTATGGATATTTATATGACATCAATGTGTTAGATGACAATGTGGAAGAGGTTTCTTTTAGTCTTCAATCTTCAGAGAATAATCACCTAATTCTAAGAGTTTTGTAGGGACGTTCAGTTTAGGTCCACTTTCACGGCTCACATAGCATTTTTAGCCTCAGCTAGCATCTGTTTACACTGAAAAAGCTTTGAAAACCCAATGTACTCTACCTGTTTAGCATCAAACAGCTGATGGATACAATAATGTCTAGCTGGGGTGGCTGTAGTGGAGAATTTAGCAAAATATTCTCTGTAAGAGTTGGTGGAGACCAAAAACAGAGCTAAAAGAGAGTAAATGTTAGATTTTGATTTGCCAGTTGGCTAATTTCAAATGATTGACTGTTTAAAGATCCCCTTTAGACATGTGTGGTTTATAGAAATGTTCAGATTTAAGTAATCTGTGTCTAAAAAAATTAAAGGTGAGGCTTTTTTGACTTAAGTTTTATATTGTATGAGGACTGGCTTCCGTACAAGTTGTGATGTCAAACAATGATGCTATTAAGTGCACTAAAACCCTAAATTAAAGGTTAGCTACAGAAACCATGTAGAAACCTTTTCATGTTAAATTCTGCATATTCTTTATCTTACAATGTAAATGTCAACAATCAAAACTGTCATTATTGTAGGAGGACTTTAAGTGAGATCTAAAAAAAAAAAAAGCACATTTGACAGAGATTTCAGGTGTCCTTGTTTAAAAGTTTGCAATGAGTGAAAACAAGCTCGGACAAGTCCACTTCAGGCTGAAGACGTGTGAAGGACATCCCACTGGTGACTTGCTAAACCCACAGATAATGCACATTCTGTCCCTGCAGTTAAAGGTCTGCTAATGACGCGATGATTGCCATTTTAGCTTCGGATCTCCAGCGCTGCCGTGTCATTCAGGGAGCCAAAATACCGATACAGCCTGGCATTAGCCATTACTATTGTTGTCCTAATGCCTCCTTCAATTATCCACGAGCAGGTCTTTTGAGCAGCTACTGTCAGAACCTCCCCCCACTGGTTTTTCACCAATTTTGTCCCTGATTATCTGGATCAATGGGCATTAAAGGACCCAGGCACAGACAAACACAGCAGTTTGAGGGTGAGGGAAAGGGGGTCTACTTTCAGACAGACCAGAAATCCCTGAAACTGTCTGTGTGCCAGGGACAAACGGAGATGGCTATTCAGTCGTCAGTCCCACCACACACAGTGTTTATTTAGCCACAGCTCAAAGCAGACATTTCTAATCTATTTTCGTTCTCCCTGAAAACCCAAGAAATGATTTCTTTCAATCCGTCCTTTCCCTCCCTCACTAACATATGCTTCCACACAAACAAAAAGTTCCACTAAAAGCTGTTTTTTTTAAATCAACTAATTCAATATAAAGTTACAAAAGTGTTTATTTTGAGGTAGTAGTTGTGTAGTTAGAACATCTTTTAAGAGATAAGGAGATGCAAATGCTAAAAAGTTTAGTTAGATTGGGTTCATTGCTGCTCAGGAGATCATATTGTGGGGAAAACAGTGCAACTTTGATAGAAAAGAAAAAGCCTCGACTTCACTTAAATATCAGCTTTCAGTTTCAACTCGGGCTTTAAAGAGATTCGGCACGCTGAGCTCCTAATCCTGACCTCTTTGCTGCGTCCACTAAGGCATTAATTTAGTGTTTGAACAGGTGCAGATGAAAGGGCCACACAGGTGATGGAGCTGCAGTCCTCGTTGGAATGACCATCCTGTGACTCACCTCATCTCTGACCAGCTGCCTCCTGCAGAGGTCCCGGGCTGATCAAAGCCACCTCAGGGTGCCGGCTTGGTGGTGACAAGCAGCGTGTTTTCACCATCTGAGCTGATGAGCGGTTGTGCGTTTGTTGGGTGATATGTATCTTTGGATTAATTGACACACCTGTGTTTAATTCACACAGGCAGCGCTGGCGATCATCTCATCACGGATCCATCAGCGCTAAGCTACAGCTGCCTTACTCAGAAGGAGAAAAAAAAAAGAAAGAAGAAGTGTTAATAATCTCCCTGTCTTGGCTGTTAATGTGTTGATATGTATGCTTTGATCTGAGACGGAAAAATCCTCTAAGTGTTTGGTAACACTTTGACTACTGACTTAATACTTTCCAGCCGTGGTAATAATATATTAGCACTTCTTGCACGTATCAGTTATTAACAAACACACGATATGACATAAATGCTTTGCACTAACTAGAGGAGCTGTCCCTCCTTGTTTCTCACTGTTTAGCGTCTAAACACACAAGTTTCAGTCGGACAGAAGGTGCCAGTCTACAACAAATCTAAAGTTTTCTGACTGAGCTGACCATTTAACAGGGGTTTATTCCTTTCACATGATATTTTATAACAGTTAAAGGGTGTTTATTTTATTTAAACTTTGCTGCTGTCTTAAGTTTTGGTTATGGAAGCTTTTAAAAGTGTGTTTAAGAGTGTCGGTGCACTATTCTTGAAGGTGTTCATCTTCTCATCAGCAGGTGTTCTTGATAAGGATCTTGTTCAAACACGTGTTCCGGCAATCCAGTCACAAAAGACTACCAGACTGATATCCACATCCGCAGCTATGATAGACAGGTAAATTAATGCATTTAACATGCTCACAATAGTTAGATAGACAGCACATTTCTTGTTTACTAAGCACTGAAACACTGATGGAGTCATTGTTCCATGTGCAGGTATTTGATTAGAAACGGAAGCACTGGAAATGTTTGGCTGACAATGGTGCTATGTGAAAATGAGGGATCACCAAAGTTTTACAGTTCATTCTGGGGGTTAGAGCATGCATCCACAGGGGACCATGAATGTGTGTCATGTGCAATCCATTGAACAGTTAATGAGATTTTAAAAAGTTTTAAACTAAGCTAATGATATTGATACAATATTTATAATGATGTCAAGGAATCACCACTCCCACGACCAAATGGTGTAAAAGCTACGAACAGAAAGATGACAAAGAAGTTTAAAACAATATAGAACAACAAACATAAGAAAATTTTTTAAATCTCATTATTATTTTTGGGCTGAAAGGTGGATTGGTGGTTAGCATCGTTGCCTCGCAGCAAGAAGGTCACCGGCGTTCCAGCGAGGACACCCGGGATCTTTCTGCGTGGAGTTTGCATGTTCTCTCCGTGCAGCGTGGGTTCTCTCTGGGTTCTCCGGCTTCCTCCCACACAGTCCAAAAACATGTTGAGGTTAATTGGTGATTCTAAATTGCCAGTGGGTGTGAATGTGAGTGTGCTTGGTTGTCTGTCTCTAAGTGTAGCCCTGTGATAGACTGGTGACCTGTCCCCCCACCCTGATCCTAGTGAGGATTAAGTGGTGTATAGATAATGGATGGATGGATTGTTATTCCTGGTTTACCTGGCTTCATATCCAGTGGATTTGCATAGTCATGTAAAACAGGGATTTGTGTTACGCTGCTACTGATCAAGAAGTTCACTGCTCTGAAGGCTGACATGATGAACGATCTGTCGAGGTGGTTTGGAAAAGAAAACATCGCTCGACTAAAATGAATAAAATCAATCACAGAGTAAATCCCAAGTTATTAACCGCGGATTAAAAAACAGTAAATGAACTTCCAGCTTTATGTGTTTATCCTCAAATCTGCTGTTCAGGGTCGAGTGCCTTTGTTTTGTGTTTTTTTTCAGCTCTGAGAACTGAACAAGTGTTTTCATTATGTGTGCTCCAGTGATTTGATCTTATTATTCTTGACAACCGTTAAACTGGTCAGGTAAGAGTTCAGTGTGTGTCTAAATGAACATAAACATCCTCATAGCGTACTCAGCTCCATTAGTCACACTTGGAAATTTTGTTGCAACTTGTCCCAGGCAGGTGAGGGGGAGAGAGAGACAAGTTCAGGACTTTTGTATAATGTGGGAAAAAACTACTGTTGGAAAAGTAGTGACAAATGCAGCAAACACTGATAAGGAAGTAGTGAGAAAATGAATCATAGGTTGGATTTTGAGCTCCGTCCCATGAAGCAAGTCCTGCTGTCTGTTAGGATGTCATGTGACCAGGAGAGGAGGGGGAGAAGAAAGCTCAGGTGAGACCACCTCCACTACTCAAGACTTACCTTTACTCTTCTACCTGCGCTCAGCAACAAACAGCAGCTAAACTGATACACCTGGTGTGCCATCAGAACTGTTTTCTTCTTTTTTTTTTTTATACCCTGGATATTGGGATGCATTTCACTGTTCCACCAGCATCCCCTTAGAAGTCACCCTGGCCCTTTTCATTGGACTGCCTGGAAATATTGGACTCTTAATAGCTTGGACATGTTTGGCCCAGGGCGACTGGTTTCCACTCTTCTTCCTGCCGTTTTCCACTCACCTGCAGCTCACTTTTTCCCTGCCTTCCCGAGCAGACTGGGCTCTCAACCTCAGATCCTGATCCCGGGGCCCTTCATCAGCTACGAGTCCCTGAGGAATTATCTGCAGCCGGAGCCATGCAAGGAGGCTTTGCTGCTGGCCACGCAGGCGGTCGGGATGGGGCCGCTCACGGAGAGCATAGGTGAGCTCAGGCTGCAGCTGCTGTGGAGAAAACAGGAACTGATGCTCGTGCGACACTGTTCACAGCCAAACTGGCACCGCACGACCACAGTCTCTAAGACAGTCTGCGAGCACCATCTGATCGTATTGTAAATGTTTACAAAAGACTGACTAACAGCTCGTAACTAACAATCAATTATCAAGCAGTGTTAAAGTGGGCCTAATGATTGCTGTGCTAATTATCCAATCTAGAGCCATTAGTTCCTTGTCACCCGTTGGCGATTGTGTAATTGGTGCTTGCGCTGTGCTTTCCAGATGAACAGAGGCCAGTGAAGCAGCGTCGCGCACGGGCCAACTACAGCAGCTGGCAGCTGGAGGAGCTGGAGAAGGCATTCGAGACCACCCACTACCCAGACATCTTCATGAGGGAGGCCCTGGCCCTCAGACTGGATCTCATCGAGGCCAGAGTACAGGTAATTGGAACACTGGGCTCCTGCTGGGATTGTTCACTTCATACTCATTCAACAGATAATAATCTTTATGTACAGTGTGCAAATGAAGCTCCTCCGCCCCACTGCCTGCTTCCATCACCACCAACGTGTGATGACAGAATTGAACCGAGAAAACTTGCAATGAATTCCAGGGTGTCATATTGTGGTCCAGTAAAGGAGGGTTTTCTGTGGAATTACTAGTTCTGTCAGTATAAATCCATCATACCTTTTCAAGGACAGATTTGCATTTTTACAAATACTCCCACTAATATAAGTGTATTGAAACTGTCACTGATTGATCTGCGCTTGTTGTACTTGTTCATGTCGGCCAACACAGCCACACGGTAAGAGACGGGTCAAAACTTTAGAGAGTGCATTCAGAATTTCGGCTGAAACCAATTTAAGACTTCAGCAGTCAGAGCTAGTCAGGCAAAGTCTGTATTCTCCAAAGTTACTTTTATTACATAAAGTTTGTGGAGTTTTTTTGTGTCAGGAATTGCAAAATATCAGCATGTTGGTAGACAGGTAGCATATCTTTTAATGAAGCTCTGAAAAAAGCAGAAACAAATGATTGATTTAACTTGGAACCAACTATTTTTGGCTCAATATCTTGGCATCATTTTGGAAGCGTTGCACAGTGTTGTTTATGTTTCCTTCAATATTTATATCTATATTTTATATCTCATTATTTGTGTCAAGGTTTGGTTTCAAAACCGCCGTGCCAAGATGAGGCGGCAGCTGAAGCTCCAGGGCCAGCTTGCAGGTCCTTACGTCAAAAGAGACACTGATGAAACGTCCGAGAAAGCAAACAAAAGCTTAAAACAGACAGCGAGTTGTGACGGTGAGCACTGGGAGAGACAGCAGGAAGGACAGAATTATCCATGGACAAAAGCTTCGAGTGCTGTGCTGAGCGTGCAGCCTCTGACCTCGAGGTCGGGGAAGTGGGAGAGGCCGGAGGGGCCGAGCTCGGAGGAGCTCCGCTCCTGCAGCATCGCCAAGCTGCGGGCCAAAGCCAGGGAGCACGAGGCCGAGATCCACAGCTCAGTAAGCATGTCAGGGGGTGACACACAGTCACAAACACAGGAAACCGATGCCACGCACAATGACTGATCATTTCCCTTCTTCCTGTTTGTATAGATGATATGTACAAATGCTATAAATATACAGGAGCATCATTTGGAACTATAAGGGGACACGGAGCTTCATTATTCAGCTTTCATTAAGTGAATGTTTCTATTTTTTTTTTTAAAGTTTGTTTCATTTCTTTATAGTACCTTCTGATTAACTTCTTTTTAGTCAAGAGCTGTTGAAGTTGGGTTTGTCAGTACGCATCATCATTTTGTATGTTTCCATGCAAATGTAAAAACTCTGTAGTTCATGTCAGAACTGGGTGATTATTATATCCTGAATGTGACTGACGGTATCTTCTCTGAATGAACAGACACACTCAGGACTTTAACGGATAATGGTGACAAATGTTGACGAGCTATCATTTAGAATAGAATGCTTTTATTGTCATCATACACAAGGTACAACAAAATTTAAAATTTCAGTTTCTCGGGGCGTGGCTGAAACAGGATACAGTCAGGCAGATTCTAAATGATTTCAGTAATGACGAGCTCATCGCTGACCTGTTGGGTTGCCCTCACAGACGGGCAGGATGTCGACATGCAGCCGCACGTCCTCACAGGAAACAATGGGAATAGCTGAAAAATGAAATCACAAAGACTGACTCTAAAGTATATCGATCACATGATAAACTGCATCAGAGATTTAATATACTGACAGCTATTGATCTCCTGATACCACATGTGCTTCTTTAAATGCCGCACATGATATTGTACAACATTTGTCCAGCGTTATACAATAATATTGTTGTGCAGGTGTTGCCAGGTGTATAAGGATGCAGTCTAGGTCAAACTCTGTGTACAGTTCCTTCATGCCTCCACACTTTTTGCAGGGAAAACACATTAATACTGTTGTGCATGCATTGTTTAATGCATTTGACCGCAGGCTGGGAGTGGTGAGAGTGGCTTCCAACAGTGCAGGAAGACACTGCCCCCTTCTGGGCATGAGTTCGTCCTCAAACAAGAAAGATGAGACGGTTCAGACAACACAACATGCAATGTTTGGTTTTCAAATGCAACAACTCTATACATTTTTTTTATTACTCTAATCGAGTCACACGCTGTTGTTTGTTGTCTGCAGTCATTTAAAACTTTTAAACCTATTTAGCTCTGCCTAAATTTCCCGGATCCTCTTGTGACAATTAATAAACAATTCATGTCTTACAGTATTTGTGGCCCGTTTTAATGAATGAGGTCAGCGTGGGTCGCTCACATTTCAAAGACTCAATTTCAACTCTGGTCTCACGCTAATTACATTCCCCATGTCAGAGGTTTGGACGCTCACTGATGAGGTCTGTGGGTCAAATTTGATTTGGAACTACTTTTCAAAATGGGTCAGAGAAGCATATTGAGTTATTTTGTTTCCCCATTAAGGTGGAATGACTTTGCAAGTTTTCTCACAGATTTTAAGTGTGTTTCTTCATAATCAGTTTTCTATATGAAAGTTTTTGAGAAATCAAGCTATAAGTTTTGTTTTTTGTTTTTTTTTCTAGGACTTTGTGGGGTACTGTGATATGGGCTAATTAGGTCAAAATTCTTGCTTATATGGGGATAGTTGGCCTCAATTAGTCCCCAATTAGGCCCCACACAAAGAAGAGTGAGGTAAAAAGAAAAAACAATGCATGTCATATAATTCTTCTCATATGTATATGCTGGCTGAGATAACAAGTTTGGTGTTTTATACTGAATAAATCCTGCAGTGAATTTCTTCTTTACTGGAGCTAAAGGATCATTTTCATGAAGCATTAACTGAAAACATTGTAGCTGTAAAACCTTTATGAAAGCTCTTTGTGAAACTTTACGGCTCATTAGTGAACTATGCTATATATGTTGGCAAATAAGTCCAAGTCTGAGCTTTACCATCAAAATCAAATGCAATAAATAAAGACGCATTTGCTCCCTTTCAGTTTGACTACAGGCACGTATGTAATCCGGATGGTTCCTGAAACAGGAGGAGTTAAAATATATAAAGAATCAAGAATATTAGAGGCAATAAATTGATATAAAAATTATAATTGCACCCAAAGTTCACATATGAGAAGGAGAGAAGAAACAACAGGCTCAATTTAAAGACAAACAAACAGAAAACGTTCGTGTCAATCTTTTTGAGTTATGAAAACTTTTGATGAAATCATGTTCAGCCAACTAGTTTGTATTGAAAATAGATTTTTGTTTACAATCAAAATTATTATTATTATTTTTTATTACCAATCCTAACCATCTCTTAAGACAGAGGAGGGGACTTTAAAATCCTGAAATCAAATGGTGGAAAAATTGCTATCAAACCAATTTTATTAAGTTGCCTCAACTTGAAGTTAGCCTAAAATCAACTCATGCAGAGATTTGAGTTTAGTTTACACAGAATATTAAGTCAATGTAACACAGCTCATCAAAACGACGTTTGCAACTTGAAAGGATGACCGAAATCAGTCATTTTTGGAGGGAGACTTAAAATCCTGAACTCGACGTGTAAAAACTTCAAGTTATCAAGCCAATTAATTAATCTACCTCAACTTAAATTTATCTTAAAATCAGCTTATGCAGAGATTTGAGTTTATTCTACACAGAATATTAAGCTGATGTAACACAACTCATCAAAACAATGTTGATCTGAATCAACATTTTTAAACTCAAAGGGAAGAAAAATGAGGACATCAAGCCAATTTCCTGAAGTTACCTCAACTTAAATGTAGCTTAAAATCAACTAATGTGAACATTTAAGTTTAACTGGCACACAGTACTTAGTTGATGCAACAAAACTAATCAAAAATAATGTTTGTAACTTAAACGGATGATCCAAATCTGCATTTTTTAAAATTTTAGTTTATTGATCTCTAACCTTGCATTCAATAAAGTAGCAGGAATAGATCCACTGAATTACCTTTTAGTCTATCTCTGCTTGCCAAACAGCTCCAGGTTTGAGACAACTGGGTGGACTTACTGAGTTTTGGTTAAAAAGAAAAAAACAACTTGGACAAAAGGTAGGTTCACATCTGGATTTTGACACAAACTTCTTGAATTGATTCATTTCAGTCATTTTTCTGCACAACAGAACAGGAAACTTTTTGCAGGATTCATTGTCATGGATTATTAAAGCAACACTCGCTATGTACTTTCATGGATGACTTTTATTCTACTGTGGTGAATGACGAATCGGCAGTCGGTGTTAATTAGTGTAATGAGCTGAGAAACCCAAACCACCACCACCACCACCTCCAGCAGCAGCAGCAGCAGCGCGTCCCGGAGAGCCGCGGCGCTCTCAAGGAAACAGGACGCAGCTGCAGCGCCGCAGTTCACGGTCAAACCCACAACTCAGACACTGTGTTTTTTTTTTTTCTTACATCGCTCTTTCCTCTGACTCCTCCACACTGAGACCTTCTGCCTGTTGCACACTCTGTGTTCGCGTCTCGCTGGAAGCATGGCTGCCATCAAGGCTCTGGAGCAGTGGTGTAAGCTGCAGTGTGACGGCTACCGAGACGTGGCCATCTCCAACATGACCACTTCTTTCAGGAACGGACTGGCTTTTTGCGCGCTTATACACAAATACAGACCGGATCTGATGTGAGTATTTACCTTTTGGATTAGTGGGTAAAATCTGATCAATTCCTGCTGGAGTTTGGTTTGACTACATGGTTTTCTTTGTCTTCTTGGTATCAACCTAAATGTTTTGTGTTTATTTCAATCATCTTAATGATCATTTGTAGTGTTAAATCTTCTATTTATGAATATTTTTCTAAGGAGATCCATCATAAAAAAAAAACAAATGACGTCTTAAAAACTTTTTCAAACTTTTTCTAGTCTAAATCCTCCATTTTTTCCCCTCCCTACATATCTAACTTCTCCTCTCTCCTCATTGTGTTTCCCAGAGACTATGACTCACTCCGCAAAGAGGATGTGTTTGAGAACAACAGACTGGTAAGATGTCAAGTTGTTCAACCTTTTGTCTCGCTTGAGAGAATCACGCTTCATACTCGAGCTGCAAAATGTGATGCAGCATAAAAACATCCACTTCATTAACCCCGGATACATGATGGCACATGCAGCAACAACACACACACACACGCTCACTGTATTTGCTCTTGTCTTGGCATTTATGCAGCAGATTGGTTAAATATTTAGCTGTTTCAAAGCCAAAAGCCGTACTAATTTCCTCTCAAGACGTGAACGTTTCCAACACCGCCTCTGTCCACGAGAAGTCCTTGTTTTGTTAACCCCCTGTACGACATGAGCAGCCCAGCCGGGACCTCTCCATTATTTAGTCCTCTGCCATCTCCCCCAGCTTCCTGTGACCTGCAGGGTGCTACAGTGTTCACTCTGTATGACTTCCTCGTTGTCTTTGGATGATCCGCCGACAAACCTGAGCCCAGGGGAGAAGCTCTCCAGCCCATCCATTTTGAATGAGGCTTGCTGTCCACGCGCCACTCGATCCTACATGATGGTGATGATGGTTCGCTTGATGTACACTTTCTTGAGAGGAACAGATTTGTGAACGGTGTGTTTGATGGGGTTAAAGTTTTGATCGGCTGCTGAAGATGCTCCCCTGTGCTGAAACGTGAGATTGCAGCTGTAATTCACACTCTTCTATATTTCATGAATAGTGTCACGTTTCTTACAGGTGGTTATTTCAGGAGTTGAAAAATGTTTGTAGCAAAAAAAACAAGCAAAATAGAACCTGGGATTCTTTATCTTTTGTGCCCTTCTTTTATATTAGCACACTTGGTATTCAGAAGGGCTTTTATTTAAATTTAATGAGCATGTCCAGGCTTATCCTAAACAATGCCCTGGTATCCTGCTCCCTCCATCCTCTTTCTTATCCCTGCAAGCTCACAGGAACTGTTCTATTCATTATACAGCCTTTTTCCAGACCTCTCTGGGCCGTGCCACAGAATACTGCTGGTCTATTTAAAGTAAATTGTATTGTTTGACGTGTTTACACATGCTGCAGTTGTAGGAGTCTGTGAATACTTTGTTTTCATACGGCAAAGATGCTTCTTTGTTGGCAAGAAATGAAGGTTGTTGCTGCTTTTTTCTCTCTCTCTCTTTTCTCTTTCAAGGCTTTTCAGGTCGCAGAGGAGAAGTTGGGGATCCCAGCTTTGTTAGATGCAGAAGACATGGTGGCTTTAAGGATCCCAGACAGGCTGAGCATCCTCACCTACGTCTCCCAGTACTATAACTACTTCAAAGGACGGCCTCCCAGTGAGAATATATCTGCTTCACACAATAAAAGCCTTAGCAACTTCATAGACAAGCTTGAGAAGTCCGTCCTCCCACCTCTTCGATTCAAAGCTTTTCCTTACATGTTTCTCTCTCAGAGGTGTGTTGTTTCTTTCTTGTGCTGCGCCGTGGTTGTTCTGACACTAATGGTGTTTTACTCGTCCTCAGTGGGAGGTGTAAAAAGGCCAGCAGAGGGCTCCAAGGAGGAGCCATCAGAGAAGAAAAATCTCCCAGTGGTTGCCAAAAGCTTTGTGTCTAAAAGCGCCATTGAGAATTGTTTACCTTCCACTCTCAAAGCGAAGACCTCACCCAAGCCGGCCAGAGCTGCTGCTCAGGTCAGTACGGATGTCAGACAACATGTCATCAGGAAGTGTTTGCAGTATAGCCTTGTTGTTGTCCACTAGTACTTTAGGTTAAGTGAATGTTAACCCTCTGTACCCACCAGAGGGTTTAAAAGAGATGTTAAAAGAAAAAAAAAGTCCAACATTCATCAGAGCCAGAAACTATGAAAATTCATGGAATTGTCAGAATTACAATTTTGTCCTTGAGCTACTCATGTGGCATGCTGATCCACTGAAAAACTTAACAAATATATACTTAAAATCAGGATATTACATCTAAATTATCGAATTCTACATGTCTCTTTTAAAATTAGGGAAAAATATACAGTTTTTAGTCACCAGAATTGGCCAAAAAAAAAAAGTGTGAGTCTATATGTAGGGACATATGAATCCAGGGCCTTTTCAGATGAACTGCAGGCTGTGCACAGTACAGATAGCAGACTGGTATGGAAACGAATTGAAAGTATAAACAGCAAAATATTCATAGTAGTAAAACAAATAATCAAAGAAATGAAACTGGTGTATGCCATTATAATTTTGTTACACTGTACACAACACGTTATTGAGTTCTCTACTTCTAACCATGGTTGTGCTGTTTCTGTAGAGATGCAGGACTTTATAGTGCAGTAAAAAAAAAAAGAGACAAGAGGAAATAAAAGGCCAGAAAGTGCTTGCTGTTCAGAGGGTTAATAAGGGGACGTGTATTCCCTTTTTGCTTTTCTTCCACAGAAGGTGGTTTTGTCGGAGAACACCAACAAAACCGGGACTCTCAATAGCAAATGTGTTGCATGCAAGAGCCACGTTCATCTGGTTCAGAGGCACTTTGTGGAGGGCAAGCTCTATCACAGAAGCTGTTTCAAGTAAGAATTTAATCAATATTAATTAGTACTTTTTTTTTTTTTTTTAATGTACTGAGGTTTATTTCATTAATCGCTTCATATGAATAACCCTCCACCACCAGATGCAGCGAGTGCTCCAGTGTGCTTCATGCAGGAAGCTACAAACCTGGGAAGAATCCAGACACTTTTATCTGTAACGCCCACCAGACCAACATCAAGCCTCCCTCCTCTGAGGCCAAAAACGGACCCGCCAGTTCAGCTGTACGACCGCGCAGTGCCAGCCAGACCCAGCCTGCACCGCGCCCCTCATCGGTGCTGTCAGCGCCACTCGATGCTGTTCTGAAGCCAATCAGTCCCCTTCCTCCGCCTTCCCAGGCCTGGACGGCCTCGGCCCAGAAGACGCAGGTGGCCCGGCAGAAGTTTTTCCAGTCTGCGTCGCAAGTTACAGAAACCTCAGCCGGCAACAGGAAGGAACCTTTAAGTGTTTTAGGAAGGTCAAAGGTCGCAGTGAGTCCCGATGATGAGAAGAGCCAAGCCGGGGTGAAGACTGGAAAGAAACTGGCGGAGGAAAACTGCAACAATAACAACAAACGCCCATTCACCGTCCGATCGGCGGAGAGACGGTGAGAAGCGCGCCCGCATGCAATCTGTGTCCGTGAATAGGCATAGTCATTTTTGCTAGCATGTGGATGTTTCTAGTCGTTCCCGCTCTGTTGGGCTGACGGTGAGGGGCTTTCTCTCTCTGCAGGTTTGGTGATGAGCCAAGTTCAGCTGGTCTGAGAAAGGATAAATGCAGCCAAGGCCCAGCAGGAAACTGGGGAGGACAGCCCTCCACCAGCCAGACAAACAATAAGGAATCGCCATGTCTAAAGGCCATCAACAAAGACAACACAAGGCCAACAACTGTACACAAAACCGCCAAAGGCAAGCTCGACTAAATTCATTTCACTTGTTCTTGATCCATTATTTGACATCTCGCCACCATCCACTCCGCCTCCCCCTATTCTTTCTCTCTGTCTGTCTCACACATTCATAGAAAACAAAGACCTTTTGTCATTTTTTGCCCTATTTATACAGCCCCGGTGCATCCAGCACGCTGTTAGCTGACATTTTAATTTCTGTCTCACACTAATGAACTTTCAGAGTTGAACTGTCTCTCTTGGGATGGACGTGCATGTACGGGGTGTCAGAGGGGTTGCAGACAGAAACACAATTACTGGAAGTTTTATTGTGAAGGGTATTCAGACGGTTTTATTTTTAGCCTTGACAGAAGTCTTTTTGTTTAACATAGAAACGAACTGTGTCACTCACGAATGTTGACCGTATAAAGACTGAACATGACTCCAACTTGCTTGAGGAACTCCGGCTCTGTAATACAGACGTGGATGTGTGAGGATGAGTCACTTTATCGCATTGTTGTGTGAGACTAGACAATGAAACCCGTAGCTGCTCTCATTATCAGCTGTTCAGGTGAGTGTGACGCAGAAGAGTCAAGGGAGTCTTTTGTTTGTTGTTTACATGAACCTGCATGTCATTGCTGAAGCAGACGTCACACAGACAGCAGTGTACTAACACATCAGCTGTTTTGACATTAGGAATAATTTCAGTACTTGTTACCACGATAAAAAAAAATGTTGTCACTGTGCTGTTATTTGTAGCTAAAACTACTAGCAGATTATTCAAGTTGATTATTTAAGTATTAATTAGCACCAGTGTAAAAACGTTCTTTTTTTTCAGTTGTTTATCAAGCAAAGGTACCAAACATTTGGTAGTTTCAGCTTTTACAATATGAGAAATTTGTGTTTTATTCAAGAATGTCCAGTAAAGATCATTTGTGGCCCTAAGAAGTGAAGACACACTGAAAAAACAAACAAACAAAAAAGCTTCGAAAATCTGGCAGTCATGGTGACCAAAAAACAAAAAAAAGGTATTGTATTGTAAGGTTCAAAAACTATTGTAAAAAATGGTCAATATTAACATGTTGGTGTAATTTTATAGACACATATTGTGAAAGAACAAATTTCTATTTGTAGAAATCTAGTTTTATTATGTGGACAGTTTTGGCCTGTTTATTTATAGTATCATAAAATGAAATAAAGATAATACAGTTTTCAGGGATTTTTCTAGAAATTTTCTGTGGGTTAACAAAACGGGAAAAATCTGTAAAAAATTACTATTTTCAATCCTTCATTTTAATATCTGTAAAATAACAATATTTCTTTAATTTAAATCAAGTAAAAAAAAAACAAAATGTAAAAAAAATCAGCATTGTGGGTGAACCAATCACTATGTGTTACAGATTTACAGATACAGATTTTGATCTGGATGTCATTTACAATTGTGGCTTTTTCTTTTTCTTTTGCAATTTCTTTTTTCTTCTTCTTCTTTTTTTTTTTTTACAGTTAACAGGTAAATTCTTTTTTTTTCTGTGACTACTAGATATTGTCTGTAATTCAAGAAAATAGGGGAAATTTGTAAAATGACAGAAAACAAAATAGTTAAAAAGAAAAAAAAAACACAGTTAAGCTGGTAAAATATATCTAAATAAAATTTCACAGTATGCACTTTTCTTACTTTAATCAGTGACCCATAAAACATTAACAAATAAACTGACAATAAGTGTAATCTAACTATGTTTTCCTTCATCTCATGTTTTCCTGCAGATCCCGTCTACCACGAGTGGCAAACGCAGCTCAAACCTGTACTAAAGTAAGTATGCTCAGCTATTTTAATAATGACTGTTGCTCAATAACTCTCTCTCTTGGCTGGAAGTGGAAAGGTCACTCCAGTGGACAAAAATTGTCTTTAAAGATTCTCCTTTGAACATCTCTGATCTCTCAGCTTATTCACTCTCCAGAATGCAGAATTACGGCGCTTCGTCCATCTCTGTTATTGTTGACCGGCTCCGAGTGAAGCCGCTTAACACTGTCCTCCATCCTAACAACCCACAAGAAGTGCCAGGCCTGAATCTTTCCTACTCTAACACTAGATTTTCTCATTTCTAACCTCTGCTGATGATTCCTCCACTACCTCCATCACCTCTTAATGTTAGAAAATATAAGGTGAGGCTTTTTCTTCATATGATTTCATTCTTATCCAACCTAAAGGCACATTCCGTCTGTGGAATCAGATTAATGTGGTGCTTTTTACAACATGGTAAGAGGCTCATTTCATTGTTTCCCAGTTCCAGAGATGATAAACCTGAAGCCTTTACTGAGCAACACACACCTGGATTCATGTCCACGACGTCCTCTGATGTCTCCGTCAGTACAACAAGGCCTCCCTTGTCTCCAACACCTGCAGTGCCTTCAGTTGCTCTGTTTGATGCTAAATGCTTTACAGAAGTCGGTCCCCAGAGAGCTCCGCCTGGCTCCGGAAGCCGAGGTAGGACTTGTCCTAACACTGTAGTAACGTCTGCCAGGATAGTACATTTTATTAATGAAGGTTTGGATATTATAAGGAACAATCATTGTAAAGTTTAGTGCTTGAAACTGTACTTTCAGCTCGTCTTGACGATTCAAAACCTCATATTTGTCTGCTATAGAGACCATGTGTGACTCTTCTTAATGGGACTTCAGCACAGATCTGTTAAGAACAACAGACCAACACCAAATCATTGTATCATATGCACAATTTGAATGGTGTCTACACATTCTTCTAAAAAGTTGTTTATATGACTAATCGTACAGCCACTTGCGACTCTGAACTGGCGTAAACAAAAAGTGCTTTGAGCTGTAGAGATAATTCGTTAGCTTCTCGTAAAATGGAATGCCAGCATTTGCATATTGGCACTAAACATAAAGTACAGCTGAGCTAATGGATATTTCTTAGTTTCGTAGCTATTTGGTCATCGCTAAGCTACTGGAAGCTTTTTAGAGTGTGGTCCAGTGATGCTGCTACATGAGACGTCCAAGGATCAAAACAGTAATCTTAGTTCATCCTGAGGGGAACATGAATGTCTGTAGTAATGTTCATGACAACCCAACCTACAGTTGATCGCACATTTCACTCAAAGCTACAAGCGTGAACCTCATGGCAGCGTACGAGGAGAAAAGATGAATGGATCACTGAAATCGATAAGATTCATCCTCTGGGAACCATGAATACCTGTATAACAACTGACCCATCAAAAGTTGCTGAGGTCATGGACTTTGTTAATTTGAGAAGTAAACAGTGAAAAACGCATTGCAGGTTGAACCTCTGGAGCTGCAGATCTACATCATGTAAAGCCTCCTGTCCTTATTTTAGGTTTTAAACATGGGAGTCGCTCGCCTGTGAAATCCCCACCCAGACCGCCAGCTGTGGAATCTATTAGCTCTTCGACGACTGCTCCTGCCAATTACGGAAATCCATCAGGTTGGTTCCCACCTTTTTTTTTTTTTTTTAAATGTCATCAAAGCCACACATACATGGCTTCAACCATCTTGTTGATTTCGTATGAGCAGTCATATTTTTTTTTTAAACTGAAAATAAACCAGGTGAAGTCATATGTGACAATGCTTTTCTGAAAAGCTGCCATGAAAGGACTATCTAATCCTATTTTATCTACCTCTTAGCTGCTAAAAAGGGAAAGTATTTGTCACCCACCAACGCCTCCAGGACCGAAATGAGGTCACCCTCTGTAAGTTCCCTCCATTAAGTCTCTTAAGAGATTAATTAACAGCTCTACAAATATGCTTTCATTACATTCCCAGTAAAAAAAAAAAGAAAAAAAGAATGACCTTCTTTACATTAAAGTGGCCAAAGTCAGGATTTTCAAATTAAAATTATCTTTACTTCCCCGTGACTCTTTGTTTTACATCAGGTGAAGTCTTATCACATTCCGGCGGAGCAGATCGAGAGGGAGCTGAATGATATTGAGACAAACTTGGCTCACTTGGAGAAGGAGGGCGTGGAGCTGGAGAAGAAGCTGCGCAGCTGTGAGGAAGGTACTTTTCTTCTTCTGCTGCCGCTGCTCGCCGCTTGCTTCCTCTCTTTTCCTTGTTTAGGCTTGCAGGTATAACTGAATCCCAACAAATGTGTGTTCAGATTTGCTTTCGGGTTTGTGTGTGACGTATGTCTACTTAACCGACCTCTCCAAGAGACCCTGCAGCATATTTCACTAATACACCTGAGAATCACACTGAATTATATCCAATAATTAACCTGGAAAAAGCTACGTTTCTCTGTCCACATCCACACTCCCTCTCTTTTCACGACACCAGTGTGCTACATACATCTTCCTGTTGCTCCCCTGCTCATTTTTTCTACCATTTAAATATCAGTGAATTTAGCCCTGATAGTGACAAAGCTGGTCAACCTCGTAGCAAAGAGGAGGGTTAGCTGACATGGGACACAGACGCTGTGTAATAACACGACACAGTGCTTTGAGGCAAAATGGATCCAGTGATCCTTTCTGCACGCTTGCAACAAAACAACCTCATCACTGAATCCGATATTTTCTGGAGTTTGTGCTGAATCCCTCTGCTGCGTCAGTGTCCTGGTTGCTTCACACATTCGCTCACCGTCAGCTGGAGGTGTGTGTGTGTGTGTGTGTGTGCAGGGGAATTACCTGCCATTTCTATTACTGTTTCTGCAGCCAAATGAGGTGAGAGGCACAGCCAGCCCACAGGGATGTTGCTTCTCCTTTGAGGTAGTAGGAGTAGGGGGCCTGATTGCTTTGCTCAAGGTCAACATGACTCTGGCGTAGTAATATATATTCTGGTCGATTGCTTAAATTTTTTATTTATTTTTTTTTGCCTGCACCACCACCACCACCACCCAGGATGCCTGAGCCGTGTAGTCACTTGGCCAGAATTTGACATCAATCGCACACCAACCTAGGAGATCATCTGCTTCTCAACTGGAATTTGTCAGAAACATGCAGCGCTTGAGTTACAATAAATAAAGTGTTTGTTCTGGCGACGGGCTGCTTGTCCTCTGTCCGGCTTACTCTTTATCGTTTTGATCGATTGGCCACTAATTGGGATTGGAAAATGTTCACCCTGAAATCAATCGATCCACCTACTCAGATATTGTGACTCATTGAAGTAGAAAACACAAACTGTGTTGTATCACGATCGCGCAGAAGACCGATGACTAAACTGTGTAGTTGTTTGGACATCTGGTGTTCGGTGAGGACTTCTTGAAAGTAGTTCCTTCATGTCAGAGTGAAAAATATATATATTTTTGGTGCACATGAATAAATAAAATGAAGCTAATCCCTCCTAGATTTTTGCTTACATGAGGACAAATCTGTGCTTCATTCATTAATTTATTCCCTCTGCATGTTAAAACTTGAGAACACTTTAAAGCATTAAAACAAAATGGCAGCGGGGGCTTTTGTATTTAATGTGATGCTCCAGCTCACATTTTCATTATCCATTATTCTGCAGATTTTTTTTTTTTTTTTCCGTAAAATATGAGCAAATTGTGAGAAAGGCTCATTATAATTACTCAGAGCTAAAGGTGACATCAGGAAGAAGGAGGGAAAAAAAAACAACTTTATTTTGTGTGACCAACAGTCTTAAACCCCAAAGCGAAGAACTTCCTAAAGTGATTATCAACATTGCCACGGATGGTTTAATTTGTAATTTCCTATTTTAAATGAAGTGAGTTTTAAGTGAATTGAGTGCAACATAAAATACTTGGCAAAGCAAAATAAAGGGACGCTCGCGTTCCGTTCGGCACTTCGCAGCAGCAACAGAGGTGACTAACGCTAAGTATACAGTGAATAAGGACAGGCTTGTTGTAACATCCTGTTCTGTGGCGGATGATATCATTCTGACGTTAAATTTAAAGATTCAGATTTAGAATTACCAGCAGTCTGGGCTCCGTTTTAGGATTGTTGGCTGCAACGTAGTCCCTTAATAAAGGCCTTGACATAGTCCCAGGAGGTGAGTCACCCGCCATCTTAATAAACCTCCATCCTCTCAATAAACCTCTCAACCAGCTTCCCACAGCACACAGCAGCCAAATTATCTTAAAAACCTAATTTGCACTTAATGTTATTATTGTGCAAATAACGCAGTCTTAAGAAAACAAATGGGTTTATCTGGTGAAAATAGAATGAGCCATGGTTTGTGGGTGAGGGCGGCTTCTTCACTCTTACAAAATATTAATAAATTATATTAATATATTAAGATGATGTAAAATGTATTATATATATATATATATTCTGCACTTTGCTCTTGCACTGTATCATTAGAGCACAGAGCCAAAGTTGTATTTAAATGTTGCTGTCTGAACACTTTCTGAGCTTAATTTATCCCTGCAGGATTTCATTTACTCACAAGTCAGAAACATTTAGTCGAGTTGTGCTGAACCGTACCAGCCACCCGGAGCAGATAGCAAGTGCAAATTTCAAAGAAACTTCCACAGTCTGTAATGCTTTGTTTCATATTTTTTTAATTTATTTTTTAAAATGAACTGATTGGGATTGATTGATCAACGATGCCGACATCACTGATTACACGTTACAGCGTGAATACACTTTGTTTGTTCACTGATATGTCGCTACCTGTTTTCAGAGGGCGAGGCGGACATACTGATGGACCCACTGATGGTTGACTGGTTTAACCTCATTCGAAAGAAGCAGATGTATGTTAGGAAGGAATCTGAGCTTGTTTACATGTGAGTACTGGTTGTTTTAAAGGTTTAAACTGGTTTTACTGTGTTGGCTCGTGATTTGGGTTGACATTGTTTACCTGAAAAGAATTTTACTTACTAGTGTGTGTATATATATACATAAACACACATATATACATATACACACACATATATATATATTTCTTTTTGCCATGAAAGCTATTTTAATTATATGAAAATGTTTTTTCTCTCTCACTATTTCCAAATAAATGAAACCTGTATCACTTTTATTATTCCTATACACTTAATTGCATTTAACTCTGCAAAGAGGTATGAACTATTAAACCAAACAGACTTACTTATTATAATGTGCACAGTAAATTACCTTTTTCAAAAAAAAAAAGAAAAACATGTTATTGATGAATCCTATGTCAGAGCCAGGACTCAGGAGCTGGAGCAGCAGCAGCCAGGTGTGGAGGGGGAACTTCGCAGGCTGCTGGAGAAGCCAGGTAAAGAGATCACAGAACCTCTGCTCACCAACACCTGCGTTACTTCCTTTTTTCTAACATCTAAGTTTGACAACTCGGTACTGCAGATCATTTAAAGTCCAGAGAGGAGCAACAGCGGGAGAAGAAGCTGATGCAGAGACTGATGGAGATTGTGGACGGCAGGAATGCGATTGTGGAGGGTCTGGATGACGATAGGCTGAGGTAACACAATCCAGCTTAGACCTAGTTTTTATATTACAAGAGGGCTGATTATTTAAAAAGAAATAATGCAGAGAGTGTACCAGTTTGATATGTAAACAGGACAATATGCATAATCAGAGTTTTTCTTTTCTTCGGTCAATTTCAGGGAAGTTGAAGAGGACCTGCAGTTGAATAAAATGATGCAGAATCTCGGTAAGCAATGCACATAATGTCTTTCAGATTTCTCTTTCTAATTTAAGTGCACCTTCTAACACACTGTATGTTTTTTTGGGCGGGGAGAACAGGAGTGAAGAAATCCAAAAATAAGAGGAAAACCTCCATCTCAAAACTGTTCAGGCGAAGAAGTAAAAGACGAGTTGAATGATCCTCAAGGGATTTTTTTTTTTTTTCTAACTAAATTGTCCTCATTTTTATTGTATTAATATTCACTTTAAACATTTAGGGTTTTTATATTTGACTACTACAGTATTTCTGCAGTTTGCTGATGAGAAGGCAAAGGAGGAGAAGTCAAATTAGGAAGAATAATGGATCAAATCATTTATTGCTGCAAATTCAAATCTAAATCTTGATGGTATTTTTGATCAAAGAGTCACTTTTTGTTCTTGGTTTGTTGTTACTTAAATGGAGTGTGTAATTTCTTTATCAGTTATGAGTCTTTTTTTCTTAGTTTTACCGTTTAAAAAAGCTCAGTTATATGGCAAATGCTGTGTAAACATTTTCCTTACATTGCCACACTGCAGTCCAAAGAAACCCCGTTATTACTGATCCCCCTCTTACGTACAGATAGTATATGTTTATGTAGTGATCAGAATGAGGCATCATAGTCATAATTTTAGCGATACAAAATGCTAAGTGGATGCCAGGTTTGAATAATCATCTATCATGATGTTTAAATCACAGAAAGGACACTGTGGCTGCTCCACGTGCAAAATAGGAATGAGGAGTCTAAAGCGTGTAATCCCTCAACAGTCTTGATCCAAAATGAAATTATTTCAGTATTTATTTAATAATGGATTTTAACAAATTTCCTGCAAGGATATTAGTAGAGAGCCTTGACAATTAGGTTGGAATGGCTGTGGAGTGTAAAATGGAGAGCCACACATGTTGCAGACTGTAGTTCCTCTCTCCCACTGTACTGTAGGTGGCAGCCTGGGTATGCTGTATCACCAGGCGAGAACTTGGAAATCCAATTTGCCACAGTACAGACAGTTAATTTCTTTGCTAATTTTATAAATGGTGCAAAAATGTTCGGCTTTGCTGATGCAATAATGTTATGTGAAAGAGGATTAGGTAGAGCAGTAGCTTATGGATGGGGAAGGCTTATAAACTATAGGTTGTATTGAGCTCTTTATCTTCAAACCTGGTTTAATTAAACATTACTCTTTACTAATATCTGCATCAGAATTGCTCCCCACCTGAGCTATTAAAAATGTTTCGAATGACGCGCGGAGCCGCTCATCTGTGGAAATGGCATTGGCGGTGTTTGCGAGGACTGTGATGTTGCATCTTAGAAGGTGTTTAATGGTATGTGCTTGTTCGCTATTTATAGTATTTTAAAACTTGAAATCAGTTGTCCAATAAATCCTTTGAAGATTAGAGTGTATGAGAGGGTGAATTACTTCCTTAATAACAGCTTCCTTTGGCACACATCTCTCTATTTAACCAGATCCCTTCACTTTTTTTTTTTTTTTTTTATCACTCCACTTCCCATGTTACAAGCTTCACCAATGACTATTGATTCAACAAACTCAGACATGGCTTTCAGTGAGAAGCCAACAACGCTCCTTTGCATTAACAGCGATCACAGCCCTGCATCAATGTTTAATAAAGCTCCTTTTTTTAAAGACGGCATCACGATAGCTCGCTGGCGTCAATATATTTCGCAGCTACTTACAAAAACTACACATCTCTCATTTTGAGATGCATGAAATCGTGATCATGAACTTGGAACACAATCTTTCTAGCTGAGCAGAGTTGGAGATGATATTGGTACAAAATGCCACGCGTGATGTGGGTGACAGTCGAGACTGAATGTGTGATATTAGAGTTAATTAAAGCTTTGCGCCCCATCTACTGCAAATGCTTGCACTTCTGCAATTAAGAATCAAAGGCGAGGGCTTAGTGTCAGGGGGGTGTCTAATACATGGTTTTAACAGGAATGGGACCTGATTTGCCAAGCTCCTAGCGACAAGCATTAACAACAGCCTCAAATTAGAGGGACATTAATATTCATAAGTAAAACAATTCATCCTGTGAATGTGTGATGAAATGGAATCCTCTGAGGTGAGCTCTTGTGTCCAGGCTGCCATCGTTCATTAAAATATGCCATTACCCATGAAGTGCTTAATCTTTATGAAAGGGTGGTAAAATCAGTTTGAACTGCTCTGACAGAAAAAGGTGGTAATTGTAATATTGTTCGGCACCTTACATTATGTTAATCCTGTACATTTTTTTTTTTAAATATATAAAACGTGATGGTGTCAAACACTATAGGTTTCTGTGTGTCTCGCCGGAGTTGGGGAAAAAAAATGTACAACTGTCTTTGCTTATGCACGCTGAAATTAGCCTGTTATTCTATTAATACGGCATGAGTGCTTTGTGATGTTTTAGGTTAGCTGCCTTTTGCAACACAATCTAAATTCTGCGCGAGTGTGTGTGTGTGTTTCGTCTTATTCCGCTCCCTGCCAGAGTCTCTGCCACTAGCCTGTAATTATGATCCTCGAGGTAATTTTATCAGGCTCATTAGCTCTGATGAGTAAACGAGAAGCGTGCCTCTAATTTATTGGCCATCCAGGCTGGAGACTTAATTCTCATCAGAGAGATCATAATATTTGTATAGAGAGAAAGATATACAGTACACATATATGTATTTACAAGGCTCCTAAACCCACGACGAGGCCAAGACTTTGTGACTTCAAATCAGTAATTACGCTCATAACAGAAAGTCTGATTGGATAATTGGCCATGTGCTGAAATTATTTCCACAGATGTCATTGTGATGAGCAGAGGCGCACGACATTGTCTCTTTTTGATTCAGGCATGATTTCAAATGAAAGCCATTGTTTGCATTCTAGCGAGTCTTGTGAGTTTATCTTCCTGCACAAAATTAGATTCTCACACCTCTGCAAACAAAATTGCATTGTTTTGTTCCCTGTTCAATAGAGATTATCCATTTTCTGTGTCAGAGAATGTGTTAAGGGAGCGGTGTAAATATGCTCACAATTTTCAGTGTGTAGAAATTTGCATTGAGGGGAAATTATGCATGCTGGCTAGTGGAAATGAAATGTATAAAGTGCATGACTGGTAGACTTGACAAGTGCAGCTTTCATCCATCTCAAATGAATAATTTTCACTTCCCTTAAACATCCTTAATCCAACCATGTTATCAGCGGGCATGCAGGATTCTGCCAGACTTTCTCCTTAACGGCACAGCAACTTTCAACTTGCCAGAGATTCTGCACTGCAGTTGCTTACCACATGGTCTTAGGGACTCACTCTTATCCTTTCCTGCTGGTTTTGTGGATCAGTAAAATTCCTTCAAAACACAATATATACATAACGCAAGTCTTAATAGATAGCAGAATGTCTCACTCTACCCTCCTCTGTGCTGCCTCAGAGGTCGACTTAATGCACTGTATTTTACCTCTGATTCACATTGGCAGAGAACTCAGAGGATGGTGTCTAAAAAAACCTATTTGCTCAGTGGCCCTTTGTCCTCTATTTCAAATTTCAGTGACAGACCCTTCCATGCTCATATAATGTGGTTTGGAAATTCCTATGGCCGTAAAGGGATAGAGGAGGATATTCATGGTAAATTACTCATTTACAGCCCAGCATTCAGCGTTTGTGACTTGTTATTTTTAGGGACATTTGCTTGTCTTCTTTGCTGAAATACATACTTATGATGATACTGTATTGTGGGAAATAACCCCCCCCCCTCTGCATCCCAATCCCTTTTTAATTTATGTATTCTTAACGTGTTCTTCTAAATGCTACTGACAATAAACAATGAAATGTGTAATTGGTGTTTATGCTGTTAATCCCTGTGATAGCCTCTAATATGAAGGGTTACCTGGCTATTTTCAATATCCACTTTCTCAGAAGCCTCGGTTTGCGATAAGAATATTAACCTCATCAATTTCAGGTAACTTTCAACGCTTTAACATCTTGTCTTAAAGACCTACGTGTTAGCAGGAGTCTCAGCCTTGGCATTTAGTGACATTTTAAGCCTTTTAACAGAATCCAGACAGGGATTTGCCGTTTCCACCAAAGGAAAATAATTTATATCCTCCTTTCTGAGAAACTGTGGGTAGAGGGATTAAATGCACCAGAGAGATTTGTATGTGGTGCAAGTAAAACAATATTGTGACTCAGTTAATACATTTCCTACCATCTACTTTCATGCTTTGAGGAAGTCGGGAGTTGTTACTCATCGAGCCCAAGTTGGCTTTGATGCTTTTCTTGTTTAATTTTCTCATTTTCCAGGTTTTCAAGTGTGCAGGTCGCAGCGACGGCAGCGCACCTGAACTTCCTCTTAAAACTGAGCTGCGAGACAATGCGTGGAAGCATCTGAGTCAAGTCTGACCAAGACCAATTATTTTTGCGCTGGCCCCAGCTTTTAAAAAGCTCTGCAACAACCAAATGTTTTCACCCCGCCTCGAATTATATTTAAAACATAATGATGTCATGTGCGCAAGAAAGAAAGACAGAAAGAAAAAAAACAGTTCTGAATGACAGTTTGCAACACAAAAGGTCTTTTCTGTGTGCTGGATGGGTTGTGGACTGTGTGTCTGCCAGTGTGTGTGATGGCTGCTGTGTAGTGGAGACACGCAGGGCTCTGTTCTCTCTGTGGGCAGGCAGCTTTGATGCACTGCCTCTCTTATCTCATGCCTGGCAAGGTTAATGAAGTGGTGGCACTTTTGGAGGAAGTAGAAATGGGATGAGTAGCAAAGACCAGAGGAAGCTTGGAGATGAAACGTCCTGCTCTTAGCGGCTGTAAGTGGCAATTTTGGTGAATTACATAGACAATAAGAAAGGGGGTTGTCATCCTCTTAAACACAACAGTCGTCTGAATCAGGAATGGTTGATTGCATCTCTTTCAGCCGGGTTCATATGAAATTACATTAACATTTAGGCGCCACTTGTAACTTGATCTGTCAAACATCTCCTTATAAGGACACGTTAGCGTTCCCTAACAACATTTAAATCAGTTTTTGTGCCCGGATTGCATTCTTGTGTAATGCGCACCCCCAAAAAAAAGACAATTTTAGCACCTTAAAACCTAGAAGTCGGCTTGTGAAATGCTAAACAGAAGTTGTTTGAGCGTCAGATTGTTCCTCGTTTGAATCCTCGTATGTTTTGCAGAAGGGTGTAGTCTGATCTGGGCCTTTTGAAGACTTCTGAAAACCTGCTGTGCCTTTGTCAGCGGCAACAAGTCCCACTTAAGTGACAGAGTTGGCTTATTTTATTTGTAAAGTGGCTTGGAAGTTGGCTCACGGTTACAGCTTAAACAAAGGGCAGAAATGCCACCCTAATATAAATATAATAACAGCTGATGTACTGCTAATGCTCTGTATTCCTTAGCTTTTTGGTTTTAATATTCCAATTCCCTTTGCATCTATAAGAGCTAATAGGTAAACAGTCCTGAATGGAAGAAATGAAGCAGGTCTACATGCCAATGAATTAGCATATAGATGAGTTCATCTCATACAAATAGTGCTCTTTTGCCCAGAACTCCCTGTGCTGAGCAAAGATCATGTATGTAAAGTATGCATGCAGAAAATGTAAATTAATCCATTTCAATCATCATTCAATCTAATAAGATTTTTTTTTTTTCTTCCCCCCGTCCCTTCTCTCATTTGTCCCTCGTTGCTCAAATGTCCAGAAATATTGAGAGGGCGGTCAAACTGTTCCCCCGAAGCAGCTTAATTGTTTAACAGAATAAAAAAGGAAGTGGGGGAAACATACAAACAAAAACACGAGGATAGCAGACATGAAACTGATGTCAGTTACAAATAAGTATGAGGATCATTGCTTGTGGATCAGACAAAGACTGAAATCAGTTTTGCATAAATACAAGCACCTCAGTGTTTTGCTGAAATCACACAATGCTTTGATTTTTCCAAAGCAGAGATTCCATAAAGGGAATGCCATTGACCGTATGTTTTGTATTTGATCCTCATTATTGTAATTCCATAAACAAACACCGCCTCTGTAGAAACATAACTATTTGTTGCATAGCTCTTGTTAATATGCTAAAAGAAGCTTATAGAATTGGGTCAGCTAATTAAGCAATTAGCTTATTTCAGCTCTGTGGTCAGGCTGTTACTAATCTATGGCATTGTGAGCTCAGATCTGGCAAAAACCGAGAGGCTTGTGTGTCTGTGTCTCCCATCCCGTCTGACAAAGGATCATGTTTGAAGCCATCCTTCCCCTCGGCAGAAAGGCACAAGACTTGTCTCCGTTCGCTAATGCTCACGTTTCTCATGCAAATCCGTCGGAATTGAAAGGTTTATTTATTGTCTAGTTAAGATATTGAGACATTTATGTAGTGTTGTTGGAGTGTTTGCTCTCTGCGTTTGTAGCTGTGTTAACACACATGGAATCCCAGACAGATTAGACTTTGATAGCATTAAAGCCATGATGAATGTTGGTGGCTTTTACACCACATGGCTTTGCAGCAGGCATCTGACGAGGGGTAAAGTTAGGCAGCGTGACAGTGGAGCGCTACATACATCGCTGGTGTAATCTCGAGAAACGTACGTTTTCGTTTCTGTGCTGTTACTGTGGGTCCGTCTTAACTTGGTGCGTTCACTGACTGTAATAAAGGGGTCGTTTGATGTTTTGGATTTCTCAGTTATGCAGATTGAAGCCTATCAATACAATTTTATGTTTTTAAGAGCAGTTTGAAGGCACTTATGTTATGATTTGTACTCAAATCATAACTATTAGCATTTGGGGTGAGCACAGATTATTATGAAGATTATTGTTTGAAGGGTTATTGTGTTTGGCACAAAAAAATATCCTGCTAAAAATATATTATAGCATTTATTTGTCTTCATGTTACCTTGTAAATTGATAACAAGACCTCAACAAATCTTTGTCGCAGTTTCAATGTGCAAAAAGTTGCACATAGCAGCTGTAGTGCCTGTTTTAGCACTTGACTGTTTTTTCTTTGGCCACTTGAGGGCAGCTGACAGTTCAAATGACAAATTTTAGCAAACAGCAGATACGATACGATCCATCCATCCATTATTTGTACACTGCTTAATCTTCTATAGGGTTATGGCGGGGCTGGTGCCTATCCCAGCCAACTTAGTGCAAAGGCAGGGGACACCCTGGACAGGTTACCAGCACTTAGAGACAGACAACCAAGCACACTCACGTTCACAATTTAGGATCGCCAATTAACCTCAGCATGTTTTTGGACTGTGGGAGGATGCTGGAGAACTCGGTGAGAATCCACGCTACACGGGGAGAACATGCAAACTCCACACAGAAAGATCCGTAGCTGTGAGGCCACAGTGCTAACCAGTGCACTAACATGCCTCCACAGATACGGTACATTTATTTATATATGTGTCCTCATGAAAGTAAATCAGATCTCTATTTAGTTTTGTTTTTGGTCTCTACCAATATCTGAAATATTAGAAATAACAGGTTAGTTAGCTGCTTTACATTGTGCATGCTGTATGTTTGTTTGTAGGTTGTTGAGATTGGAGGGATTGAAACAAACCAGTAGAGTTGTGGACCAGACACCCAAAATCCTAAAAAGATAGATGCTGAGTAGCTCTGAGCCGAGGGAGACTACCAAGCGGCAGTGACTCTCTGTGTGTTCGGTAGTTTAAACAACCCATAGATATGTGATATGTCAATGTAAAAGTATTGATTCTAACGAGTTTGAAGCTTGTAAATGGGAGTTTCAGTCGATTTCTAGATACACTTCCAAACAACACATCAGTCTAACTATGAAAGTAACACCCGCTCCTCATGACTTTCATCTGAGCTGCCGAATGAATGATAATTTGGTCATTTACAATAGTTAAAAGGTTGCGCTGCTTGAGGAGTGTAGTATATTTTTAAACTGTAGTATGCTAATAGCATTTTGATGAGAGAAATCTGAGTGAGAAGTGTACCTAATTGAAGGAAAAGGCTTGAAATGCATTGTTAACGGGTCAGAGAGACACCACTTACGGTCATGATGATGATATGCAAGGTGTGGAAATGCATTTCCAATCTCCCTGGCTTGAGCCCATCAGTTTCCATTCAGAAGTGTGTGCACTTGTTCATTAAGCTTATGCATATCATCAACTGGTGCACTCATTCTATCAGGCAGATATGGCAGGGATAAAACGATGTGAAGGATGGAAATTCAAACAACCATTCTCATTTGCAAAGGTCATTAAAGCCTGGCATACATTAGAAAATCTGCTAATTATGAAATGGCTTAACTCCACATTCAGTGGGATTATGTCTGCTCATTTAGAATATGTTGATCCCCTCCCTTACTCGCCACAAGACAGTTGATGTATGGGACTTGTGGCACAGAACTAATGTTCCCAGTGCTTGTCGGTCATCTTAACCGACTGTAAGAAGTCCATAAAAGTGGCAGTCTCGTACTGAATGAGTATCTGCATCGACGCAACAAGACGAGTCCTCGAGCTGCTGGGAAAATTTGTTGTACTGATGATATTTGGCTCAGCAGCTCATCGCTTTTTATTTTAAATTAGAGGATTTTGAAACAAATTCTAATGACGATTGCTTCTACCATCAGTTTTTCTACCTGCAACATGAAGTCGAGCGTAGAGCTTCTCTAGGTTTTCAATCGTCAGTCTAAATACAGAGTAATACACATTAATCTGCTTTTTCAATATTAAAACAAGCACTGCAATGACAGAGAATGAAATAATACAACGTTTACAGGACTTTGTACGTAATGCATCAATCTCTGGTGAGACTTAGTTACATCGTTTCTACGTAATGATGCACGAAGAGAATTATAAAGAAAGTTAAACACACTTG